CTTTTGCAGAACCAGCCTCGGATTCAGCTGCGATCAATTTAGGGTAATCGGAGGTAAACAGGCCAAAAGAGACACTGTGGAAGAGAGCCTGAGATTTATAACAGCTAATGATTAAATGCAGAGTGGTGTGTAAACACACAGACACTGAAACGAGGAAACACTGAGTGCATCATGGGAAGTCCCCTGCCCCCATTTTAACTTCAGTTAGACAAAAGTAAGAAATCTGTATCTGACACAAATCTGCATACTGCTTCTGTTTCCCCCCAAACATCTTCACCTTCTTGTGGTTTTGTTTCTATTTATTTCTTGTCCAGGAGTCAGATTTGATGTCCCTGGCTCGCTCCCTCCTCCAAGCCTGGTCGGACCCTCTCGTCCTCCTGTCCTCCTCCGCTAGTGCCCTGCCTCACCCAGCACAAAGCACCATATTCAACAAGATCCAGGAGATGCAGCAGTACTCCAAAAGTCTCAAGGATGGTCTTGATGTACTATCTAGCAAGGTGTGTAAGAGACGCCTGCAGGAGCTTTGGTGGGAAAATAAAAGTTATTTTCATTTACAAATACAAAATGTATCATTAAAATGATTTTTGCCTGTTTGTGTCCAGATGGGTTCATCTGCTCAGGCCATCACTTCACTGCCCTACCGAGGAGGCACCAACCTCGGCCAGGACAAGATTACCAAGTTGATCAACTTCAACTTTCTGCTGTCCTGCCTCCGTCGGGACTCTCACAAGATTGACAGCTTCCTGAAAGTCCTGCGCTGCCGGGCAGCAAAGATGCAACCAGAGATGTGCTGAAGAGTGGGTGTCCAGCCTGACTCTGTGGGGAGATTGTTTGGAAAGCTTGTATTGCCTATAGAATTATACACGGTACTATATTCCTACCTGCTGATTAGTTTTGCAACACGAGGATAAGGAGGAGTTATAAGTTACAAAAACACATAAAAATCGACCTTCTTGCTCCATTTCTCAGTGTGTATGTATAAATTAAAGCTGCTTTCAGCTGTTGCCTTATTCTCAAGGGGTTACCACAGTGGATCGCTCCACTTGTTTAATTGTGTTTTATGCTGGATGGCCTTCCTGATGCAGTTTGTGTCTCCTTCTGGGATTATGCCAGGAGATCTTTTGCTTGTTTATGCTCACGTGTAAACCTTTACACTATGGAGGATTGTTAAATAGTAGCCTTAAAGGTTAACAGATTTAAAGTATAGGAAGGGGAGCTGCAGGCTGTTGTCCGACCTTAGTAATGTGTCATTGTCTTGATGGAGCACCTTTCCATTGTGATTTCCAGCTGGCCTGGCATTATGAAGTGACCAGACAGTGGTCAGGAGTGGAAGCAAATCAATGTGTCAACCTGTGACTCCTCCTCATCCTTTTGTTGTGTTAAAGCATTGTCCCCACAAAGTCCTACTACTAATGGAGAATGTTTTCTTCCTAACTAATGCTTAATTAACTGCAGCATTTGCACTTTAGATTAAATGACATCTTTTAAAAAGCATTGTTACCTTAGTGCCTTTTAACTGAACTGTTTCTTTTAAATCTGTATTTCATTAAAGTTTTTCTTGCACAGTCGAATGTTGTCACTTATTCTTTGTTTTAATGGAAATCAGTAGCGTGCATGTAACAGCCTGAGCTCACTGATCTCTTCTGTTTTCTTTAGCTAGTATTATCAAAAGGCACAGCATTTTCATTCTATGCAGATGATACCCAGCTTTATCTATCCATGAAGCCAGATGACACACCAGTTAGTTAAACTGGTGGAAGTCTACCATCAACACTGACACAAATACAAGAAAACAGCCTTTGAATAGCTTAATAGTTAAGCACTATGGGTGAAGGGGTTAAACACATGTGTAGGACTGCTTTCGTGCATTTGCACAATATCTCTAAATAATATCTCTATGTCTCCAAGTGATGCTAAAAAAACGAGTTCATATATTTATTACTTCTACTGGCCTACTGTAATCAATTATTATAAAGATGTCCTAAAAGTACTGATGGGGACAGTGCATGCATATTTCACCCATATTCGCTTTGCTTCATCGCCCCCCTGCTGAGTCCTAAATTGAATTTAAAATCCTTCTAGTCACATACAATGTCTTGAATCATCAGGCCGTATCTTATCTTAAAGACCTTAGAGTACTGTATCACTCCAATAGAGTAATTTGCTTTTCCCTATGATATTGAATGGAAAGCACAGCCTTCAGTTTTCAAATCAAATCAAATCACTTTTATTGTCACATCACATGTGCAGGTACACTGGTACAGTACATGTGAGTGAAATTCTTGTGTGCGAGCTTCACAAACAACAGAGTTGTGCAAAAATACAATAACGTAAAACAAGCAAAATATAAGAATGGCTAAATCTGAGAATTATATGAATAAATATATGTACAATATAAGAGTATATTACTGAATGTGTATACTAAATATGTTTTTCTACATGTGTGTGTGTTATATTTTACAAATTAAATAGAGTAAACAATAAAATAAAATATATAAAAATATACAGAGTTGGTTGAGACATGTGCAAAACAGTGGCATTAATGTACAGTCTGGAGTGCATAATGTTGAAGTTCCAGTAGTGGAGGTGAGGTGTCTATGAAGTGTTCAGCAGTCTGATGGCCTGGTGGAAAAAGCTTCTCTCAGTCTGCTGGTTCAGGACCGGATGCTGCAGAACCTCCTTCCTGATGGAAGCAGTCTGAGCAGTTTATGGCTGGGGCGACTGGAGTCCTTGATGATCCTCCCCGCTTTCCTCAGGCACCGCTTCCTGTAGATGTCTTGGAGGGAGGAAGGCTCACCTCCAATTATCCAGTTTTCAGGGCTCTCTTCCGTGGAAACATCTCCCAATTTAGATATGGGAGACAACTTTTGTGATTAGGCTTAAGACTTTAAACTCAAAGCTTTTTGATATAGCATATAGGCAGGGTTGGAGCAGGTGACCCTGAATCCTTCCTTAGTTACCCTGCAATAGGTCTAGGCTGCTTGGGGCTTGATGCACTGTGTTTCTACTCCATTTTGCATTTAATCATTAATTAACGTGCTGGCCTTAATTTTTAATTATTAATCACAGGCTCTCTTCCACAGTGTGTATTTTGTCCTATGTTCCTTCCTTTACTCCGACTGGTAGCAGCAGATGGCTGCTTCTCCCTGAGCCTGGTCCTGCTGGAGTTCCTTCCCACTGTCGCCATGTGCTTGATTGGTGTTGCTTGATTGTTGGGTTTTTCCCTGTATTATTGTAGCGTCTCTACCTTACAATAAAACCTTGATGTGACTGTTGTGATTTGGCGATGTACAAATGAAACTGAATTGAATTGACTACAGAAGCATTGTCAGTGACACAAATGCATTGGTGGTGGGCTGGGACTGTACATGGCTCATTCCATCCAAAGTCATCAAATTTAAAAAAAATAATCACAAATCGTCCTTAAAATGTTCCAGTTGACATAGTTACTGCAGAGTAACAATGTCACTATTTCTGGACGACTGCAGAGGGCGCTCAACAACCTTGTTTTTATTTTGGAGCATAAGTAGAATACAGCCGTTGAGAGGTGTACCTGATGGATCACTCTTATCAGTGCACGCACTCGTGCTGATTGCAACTACTTGCAATTGGTCACCAAAGATTTCTGAGCAGCCATCGATGTTTCCTAATCACAAAAAGCTGCAGTTCTATGTTCACTCTAATGTGACTGAGCCACTGGCAAACTGGCAGCAATATTTTTAAACTTGAAAAAAAAAAATTGGTTCACCTCTTTGCTTTTAGGCTTTTGGATAAAAATGCACAGACCTGCTTTATTTTAAACTCCATGTACAGCTGCCAACTGAGAGAACAATGTTTTTTTTGTGTGTGTGTGGAGATAATTATTATATGTAGCATAACGATATAAGTGGTTATAAGTCATTATTCATATATAGGGATTAAAAAAGGCCTGTTCTTGGAAAAAACAGGAGATCCCTCCTTTCAGAGCATTTCAAATTCTATATAATTGTTTTAAAAGCAAAGACAGTCAAACTGATGGTTCCAGGTCTCAGTGTTTAACTAAGATCTTATTTTATTTTAACAGAGAAACAAATTGTGACCCTGAAGTAACATTTCTGTAAAGGTTTGATGAGAAAAACTGACATCCCTATAGTAACCCTTAAAAAATGTATCTAAAAATTAAATTTTTAGAAAGTAGCATCAATTGGTGATTATAAATTTCCTATAGCTGTGAATATGACTGTGAATGGTCTGCCTGCAGTTTAAACTGCCAAAAGTCATGTCCACCTCATTTCATCCATCACTTACTGCTACGTGCATTAACTATTCATTTTTGGGAATTAAAGTAGCGGCAAGTTATTTGGGAGCAGAAGGGGAATAAAGAATCTCATCAGGATTCAGAATATCCGAAGCCCTCTATGTGTCACCTCAGTATTATCCCCACTTGTCTTTTTAAAGAAGTCTTTGACACTGTTGGACATGGTAAAAAACAAATCTTGATACAACAGTTCTTTCAAATTTGAGGCCAATCTCATTAAACTTCCTTTCCTGTCCAAAGTCCAGGAGAAAAATTGTGTTTCTTTGGCTCCAGGCTCTTCTGGGAATGAGTGAGATCGCTGAAATATTTCAGTTCAGGTTCACATTGCGCTGAAACTTTTTTTTAAAAGTTTTTAATGATCTTTTAATAATCGCTGCCTCGGGTGACTGCCACTTTAGTGCTTTTCAACCTTTAGTTTTTCATTTGAGAAACAAATAAATTCTGTTGTAAAAGAACTGCCTTTGAATATTCTAGAAAGTTGATTTTCTGAATCTAAAAGCAACACAGCAGCACTTTTTTAAGACCGGTGAGTAATGGCTGTACATTTCAGGAGGGAACTCTCAAGTATATGTGAAGGACAGACAAGAAGCACTGTCTGCTAGAGTTTAACAAATGTCCTCACAAACATAGGCTTGGATAGATAAGGGAAGCATATCTGCACATAACACGCACCCACGCATCCTTCTTCCTCGGCTGCTGTGTTTATGCTTTCATGTATCTGTCCTGATTCCACTGAGCTGACGTTCAGTTTGAGCTCCAGTCTGCAGTCTGCTCTATTTTTAGCTCTGAGGCAGGAGGTGCTAAGTAAGGCAGCCGTCTCAGAAGTTCACAGTGAAAAGAAGCACATCTCTCTGAGGCACAGCAGTGCATCTATATGATGGGAAAAGGAAACATGGAAAAATGGTGATCCTATACTTGCACACCTGGGATCTTCAGAAGAACCCGTTTAACTGTAACAATTAGCACTATGACTGAGTTAATATGTATCTTTTTAGCCTACATGAGTAAATAAAAAACTGACATTCGTCTGAAAATTGGGTTGCCGGGGTACAAACATCACGAGTAGATAGGCATAGCACTCCATATTACAACATAACCACTTTTACGGGATGCGCTCATTGAGAAAAAGTCCCTGTGTTCGGTAATGTTTGGAGAAGTTTGGATTTTGATCTCGTCTTCTTGAAGTATCAAAGGAAAACCCAAGCAACTCAAAGGGATTATGGATTAATAAAAAAAATGTAGCGATTCTGATTCCATTTTTGATATTATTTATTGATTTAATTCCTAATTGATCCTTGTGATTTCTCACTGGGCTCTCATTGGCTCAGCTTTGAGAGTCACCACTATCGCTAAGCAACAAAAACATTACATTTATGCATTTATGTGATCAGTGTTGGTCATTACTCAAAAAAGTCATGTACTACACATATTACACAGAACTGCCTTCTTAAAGGTGATGCAGTAACTACTCCCAGGAGAAAGTAATTCATTACATTACTTGTTATATTACTTTCACGTTTCTCTGTAAAATGACCTGAACTGCATTGTCTCATAATTATCATTTAACATTGTAAACCTGTAGGGTGTAGTCCCACACACCAACACAGATCTTTATCCTTATGAGGACACACATATCATCGTTTTCTTAGGTGGTGAAAGGTGAACCCAACCTTAAACATTTGCAGCAGCTATATTAATTCATATAACACTGATGTAATAATAGCCGTTAACACTGAGATATTTTGATAGTGTTTTTTTTTTTAAACTTTTGCTAACAGGATGCTTCTAAAAACCATCATGTGGATTGTCTGATAATAAATAATTAAATGACTAATTATTTGACTGTTGTCAAAGCACCCACCTTGCAGAGAAGGCAAAATCAACCTAAAGTTAAAATAATGTGTTTAAATTTACTAGTCAGCACAAGTTTGACTTCATATCAAGACCTCAGGAGGACAATTCATTTTAAGGTTTCAGTTCAAGTACACAGATCATTGTAATTAGCCTCTAAACAGCTTAGCACTGATGTGTTTATCTATATTATATTATATTATATTATATTATATTATATTATATTATATTATATTATATTATATTATATTATATTATAATGCATTAAGACCTCACAGTCAAAGGGTTTTAGAAACTCTGCCTATCTTGCTGGAGACAATAGCTTTATTTAAGATAAGATAAACCTTTATTAGTTCCACATGTGAGAAATGTTTTGGTCACGGCAGAGAGTACAAACAAACCTAAT